GCCAGTGATTGCGGATCTAGCTGGCGAAAAAGAAAAGATCCGGAAGCGGCCGTGGGATTCCGGGAAAATCAACTTCGACGAAGCTGATTTGACGCGAGAAGGAGGAAATGATGGGGGAAAATCTCCACCCCACGACCAGTCTTCGCCAGGGAAAATCGCCGAGGAAAAATACGACTCCGCGAAAAAAGACTCTGCCGAGACAGGGAAACTCCTTGAAGACCCCAGAAATTATAAGGATTCGTTAAAGTTATCTTATAAAGATGCTTTAATGAAAACTTATGATTTTCGAGGAGCTAGAGCCTTGGAGAAATTTCGGGAGGGACTCCAAAAGAAGCAGACAGCTGTGGAGATTATACCGGTACCGGAGAACTTGGGGACCAAATTAAGGAGTGTGGAAAGAAGCCGACCTTTCCACGAAGTCAACGTCCTCTCCCGACACCAGCCCACAACGACTACCCGTTCCCCAGGGAAGACGTCGGTGGAGCTGAAGCAGCTCAAGAGGAAGCTGGGGGTCTACAAGAAGTTGCACAAACCCCGAACTCCTCTTATGGATGCATCCAGTTCTTCGGCATCAATGACGCGCACAGTCGTCAAAGAAACTCCGGGCCCTGGAGAAGAGCCGTTCTCCAAGCAGCCTCGGCCAGCTGCCAGCTCAGGAGTAGATAGTGACACAAAGGTGTGTACGGAATATTGGGATGTAACCTATGACCCAGTCAATGAGACTATCTTTGGGTACTCCGAGCAACGCCTGCCCCTCGTGCTCGAGGTCATCTGCAAAGGACGACGCCTCCAAGCACTCGTGGACAGCGGAGCATCACACACCGTCTGAAGCAAGTTACCAGTACACGGCGAAGCAGTGCTACACCTACAAATCGGACCACTGCGCTGGAGACCTGCACTTCCCATCACCAACATCTAAGGGCTTGACTTGATCTTCGGGCGAGACTTCCTAAAACGATTCAACCCCGAGATCAACTGGGTGAACCGCACCGCAAGCATCTACAACAATGGACGGAGAGTACAGCTACCCAACTGGGTGATACAGGAGATATCCCAAAGGAGACCCTCGCCAGATTCGAGACCCTCGCCTGCGCATGTGCATCGACTACCGAGCTCTTAACAAGCAAACAATCAAGAATATATATCCGATACCGCGAATCGATGACCTGCTTGACCAGCTTCGGGGAGCTACGGTATTTTCCAAACTGGATCTGCGGTCCGGATACTGGCAGATACGGATGGCGGACAACTCTATCCACAAAACTGCTTTCCGAACTCGGTACGGATCGTACGAGTATTTGGTAATGCCGTTCGGACTCACCAACGCACCAGCAACGTTTCAAGCTGAAATGAACCACATTCTACGACCACTTTTGGACGAGTGCGTGGTGGTGTACCTGGACGACATCCTCATCTACTCGCGCGACATGAAGCAGCACGTCGAACACCTGCGACGCGTCTTCGAAATTCTTCGACGAGAACGGTTCTTCGTCAAACTGTCCAAGAGCGAATTCGCCCTCGAGAAGGTCCAGTTCCTATGACACATGGTGAGCGCTCAAGGAGTTCATGTCGACCCCAAGAAAATCGAAGCCGTACGTACGTGGAAGACACCCGAGAACGTGAAGGAGTTGCAGCAGTTCCTAGACTTCGCGAATTATTACAACAGGTTCGTGCCACAGTATGCGAAACTAGCAGCACCACTCACGAATCTGCTGAAGAAGAACACGCCCTACAAATGGGAATCGAAGCACCAGGAAGCCGTGGAGCAGCTGAAACAAGCACTACGACTGCCCCGGTACTCATCTTGCCAGATCCCGATCGCGACTACGTAATCGAAGCTGACGCCAGCGACCAAGCAGTGGGAGCAGTCTTAATGCAAGACCAGGGGAATGGACTGCAACCTATCGCCTACCTCAGCAAGAAACTACATGGAGCAGAACTAAACTACCCGATACACGACAAAGAGGCCCTTGCCATTGTCATCGCTTTCAAAGCATGGAGATGTTATCTCGAAGGACGAAGAACAACTGTCTACACCGACCACTGCAGCCTGAAATACTTGAAGACACAACCCAACCTTTCCAGGCGGCAGGTCCGGTGGATCGACTTCCTCGAGACACACTTCCATCACGACATCGTGTACAAGCCCGGCCACAAAAACAAAGCAGACGCTCTTAGCCGGCCTGCGCACGTTGCCGCTATTCAAATTGAAGGGATGAATCCACTACTCAAGGGACTCTTCACACACGGGTACGCCATCGACCCGGAAATCCCCTTGGCTGAAAAACGATATCTGCTACAGTGGGACAGTGACATCGCGTACCGGAAAGGATCAGCAAAAATCTGGGTACCCAATTACCCTCCTTTGCGCCAGTTACTACTCGAAGAATACCACGACGTCCTAGACGCGGGACACTTCGGTAGCAACAAGACGCTCACCGGTATCGCCAAACACTACTACTGGCCCCACATGGCAGATGACGTACAGAAATTTGTCACCTCGTGTGATACATGTCAGCGGATGAAGAGCAGCAAGCAGAAAAAGGCGGGACTTCTGCAGCCTCTTCCTGTCCGAGAACAACCATGGCAAGTGGTTAGCCTGGACTTCATCACCGGGTTACCACCTACCACCAGTGGTCACGACGCAATCCTTGTCGTCATCGACAAGTTCTCCAAAATGGGACACTTCATCCCGACACACACGACGGCACGCACCGAGGAGACAGCACAACTCTTCATTCGTCACATCATCTCACAGCATGGCATCCCAACCACACTCATCTCCGACCGAGACCCCAAGTTCACCAGCAAGTTCTGGAAGGAACTTATGTCTCTACTCGGGACCAAACTCGCCATGTCATCCGCTTACCATCCGCAGACAGACGGACAAACCAAGCGCCTCAACCAAATTGTTGAACAACTCCTCCGAGCAGCCTGCAAGGACGAGATTTCCAAATGGGACCTGCACCTGCCCGTTCTGGAGTTTGCTTACAACAACGCTACACATGCCGCTACTGGACAGACGACGTTCTTCCTCTGCTACGGACGCCACCCACTCACACCACAGAAACCGACCACATCCACTACAGTACAACCTGCACATGATTTCATCACAACCATGCATCAGCTTTGGGATCGGACCCACAAGCGCCTCCTCGACATTCAGCAGCAACAAAAGCGCCAGGCCGATCGCCATCGCAACGACCACACCATCACAGTGGGAGACCAGGTGCTTCTTGTCACCCGCAACCTGGACATCAGCCACCTCCCGTCTAAATTGTGACCTCGCTTCTGCGGGCCTTTTCTCGTCGACGCACAGGTTACTCCTGTTACCTTCCGCTTGCGTCTGCCAGCCACCTGGAAGATTCACAACGCCTTCCATGTCCAACTTCTGAAGCCCTATCGGGATCCGAACACGATCTTCGTCGGACGCCAACCGCCGCCGCCGCCACCCGTCCTCGTCCAGACTGAACCCGAGTACGAGGTCGAGTCCGTGCTTGCACACCGTCGACGTCGGAATGGCACCGTGGAGCTTCTCATCCGTTGGAAGGGTTATGATCCTTCTGAGGACAGCTGGGTACCTGAGTCCGACATGGGTAACGCCCGTCGTCCTCTGCATGACTACCTTGTCAAGCAGGGTGTTACTTTTACCACCCAGCTTTGAGGGGGGGAAGTGTGAGAGTACGACCCCGTTACACCACTTGTCCCTTTCCTTATTTCCTTCCTCTTTCATTTCTCTTTTTATCTCATCTCATTTGGTTTCCTATTCTCCATTTTTCCGTTAACCTTTGGTTTATCCTGCTATTATAATTATATCACCGACCAGGCTTGGGATGTACTGGTGCGCTATCTGGCGTAATCCTGTCGTAATCCCTTAAAGCCACTAGCCTCGCGTGGCTATACGCAGGGTGATTCTATCTTCTAGAAGGGTCTATTCCCTTAGGATAGGATAAACCTGGTTACCTGATGTACTCTGGAAGTATAAAAGCGCCTTGTACTCGATAGTGCAACCTTTCCTCGAGTCATTCGATCCTGTGACACAGCGTGTCGTGCAACTCATGGGGCACCTGTCGCAGGCCGTAGACCGGGCGCCGGAGGAGCCACTGGGTCCAAGGCTTGAAGGTACCAGTGAAGCCCTCTGGACGACACAGGTAGACCTCCTCGTGTAGGCTGCCCTGAAGAAAAGCAGTGGAGAAGTCAAGGGAGTGAAGCTCGTAGTCACGCTGTGCTGCTACGTGTAGCAGCGCCCGAAGAATAGTCATCTTGAGCTCTAGCAGCGCCGCCAGGCGCGCGTAGTACACTTGGCCTCCGGTGCCAACACAGCTGATATCTTTACGAAGGCGCTTGTGCCTAAAGATCATCAGCGGCACTGTGTACAGCTAGGTCTCATTCCTGTAGCCTGTCACTTGCTAGGGCCTTGACCTTGTACTATCCTTTATATATATATATATATATATTTTTATTTTTTTACCCTGACTAGCTTTGTGGCCTCTTCCAGTGGCTGGACTAGTAGTGCCGCCCTGGTCCTGCTCTTTTCTTGTCTGTACTCCTTTGACTGGTCTTTAGACCCTTGCCTCAGAGGCTGGACTAGTAGTGCCGCCCTGAGCTGCTTCTTTCCCTGTAAGGCACTGCCCCTATATAGTCTAGGGGGTGTGTCAAATGTAACTTAGGTAGTTACTGTAGACTATACTGGATTGTGCCTTAGAGGGTACAACACCCTATTCTATATACCCTTGTACTCACACATTCTAGTTCACTTATTCATTCTGATACCTTCTTCCTCCCACTATCTCCTCTCTCTTTCCTTCTCTATCTCTTCTCTCTCTCTTCTGCTCTTCTATACCTACTAATGCTACTGTGTCATGATAGTGCAACGCTCATGCCGAAAATCTCATGTTTGGCTTTAGAATTGCTATATGACTTGTAACCCTCATCGTTATTAATGAGAACAAACTCTGAAGTTAGAGCTGATGCAAACGAGGTGAAATCAAGGTGGAAGGGGTTGTGAATCTGTACTCGTTACAGAGTTGTAATCACGTTTTCATGTGTGAAGATGAACATATGCATGATCAAAGTTCAAGATGAAGGTGAACGGATAGAGCTTACTGACACGTTCTATGCTCGCTATTTCTGCATCGTACCGAACTCAGAGCTACAAGGTGACCGGATAGGGTTTGTAGGTGGGCACTCTGCAACAGGCAAATCTACTGACCTTTTCTAGTAGAGGTGTGTAAACCACTGTCCACGGAGCAACGAGACAATACAAAGAGTGCATGGGCCATGAGCCTGTGCATAGTGTAATGCTCATTTGGTGTGGCCCATGCAGCATCATGCTCCATGTAGCCCACGGCAGACTACCCATGTGACGCATGGCACCTGACGCATGCCATACGACCCATGGCATCCAGACCAAACAGTGCTGTATGGCCCAAATGTTGCGTGTCTCAAGCCAGGCCAGCCTCCTTGAGCACCTTTTCAAAGGCATCGTCATCGTCCCATTGCACCTGCAGATTGATAACACATTGATGCACACAGATGGAAATGCTTGGAAGATATGGGAGATCACGAAACACGATAGACTGCCAACCTGTCCACACAAGGGGAAACATCTAAGAACGTGATGATGCGATTCGGGTACAGCATACATCATGCTCAGCTCATCCCCTCATCATTGTCACGTGCCCTTCTTTACTCACATCAGGAATGACTCGGTCAAAGTGTTTCTCGATCTTATTTAGTGTGCGCTCGTCTCTCTCCCCACACACCAGGTTGAAAGCCGCACCTGACACAGGGGAGAGGCGGCAGAAGAGATGGAAGCGGGAATGTATACTCTGTGAAAATGAAGTGAAGAGGAACAGGGACATTGTGCCAAAGAAGGGATTATTCCTCGTGCACAGTCCCGATAATCGACGGTCTAATCATTCACTCACCATTCCACCCATCAATACATACCCGGCCAGGCCAGGGCACGTGCAATCACTTACAATCCCGTACAATCACTTACAATCACTTAGAATCACTTACAATCACTTACAACAAAAACCAATTCTACACTCAACCATTCCACTCGCCCATCTCGGACCCACTTCCTCGTTCGCTCCCACCCCCACCATTCCTCTCTCTCATCATTCCTACCCTTCCAGCTTCTTGCCAAACTGTCAATACCCTTCCTCTCCATCCCTATGCTATCTCCTATCGACACCCTCCTTACCCTTCCTGCCAAAGCGCCCACTACGACCAATTCGATGGAGGTACGTCTCGTACTCGGGCTCGTTGGGGGGCGCATTCTTCACGGGCAGATCGAAATTCACCACCAGCGTCACCTGCCCCGGGCAGAAGGAAAGGAGCATGGCGCTAAGTCAGAGTGGAAGGGCAAGGAGGGGAACGAGGAAAGGACAGAGAGAGGCAGATGCGGACGCAGGAGCTTTTTGCTGCCCAAGTGACCAAGTCTCCCCTATGAGAGCAACAAGTCACCTTGAGGTGTCCTAACTAACTCACGCGGTAGCCAATCCTCGTTAAGAACTCCGCGAACAGAAATCTCACCTGAGCATGGCAGAAGCCCCTGGCAAGCACGTCAGTGGCTATCAGGATCTTGGTGGTGCCGCTCCTGTACTCCCTGAACACTCCAGGTTGAATGAAGGGAAATACCCTACCCAGTCCCACCCACCCCAGTCGCACCTGCGCCTGGTCAAAGCCTCTGGCGAGCACGTCAGTGGCTATCAAGATCTTGGTGGTGCCACTCCGGTACTCCCTGATGACGTCATCTCTCTCCTCATGCGACATGCCTCCCTGAATCGACGTGCACCTGTGCCCATCCGCCTCCAGCCTCCTGCAATGGCGGGATAAGGGGAAGCCGGGGGTCTCATCACATCGTCCCTCTCCTCGTGCAACATGCCCCCCTTGGATCGACGTGCACCCCATCAACAGGAAGCAAGGGGGGGGGGGAGCGCGGGAGATGGGAGGGGGGGGGGCGGGAGGATTTTTGGAAAGGGGCTGCTAAATTCCCGCATCACATCGTCCCCCTCCTCAAGCAACATGCCAATCTTCCCTCCCACTCTCAACCCACAAGTACCCTAGCCAACCAACGCTCGGCCGACCTGTGCGAATCGTGAGCAGTTTCGCGGGTCTTGGCGAAAATAATAGACTGTCCGAGCTTCTCAACAGCAGGGATGAACTTACCTTGGAGCACCACCACCTTGGCGTCCCGCGATGGCACGTGCACGCGGTACTTTCTTACAGCGCCTGTCTAGGCAGAGAGAGCTCACCTTGCTCCACTCAGCTTTTCCTTCCCGCACTTCAAGCAACGCCCCCTCCCCCCCCCCCCGTTAGCTGCCCGTTTCCTGTTGCAATGCCCACCTGTGCAGATCCCGGGCAGTTTCGCGGGTCTTGACGAAAATGATTGACTGCCCGAGCTTCTCGGCAGCGGGGAAGATCTTGTCTTTGAGCACCACGACCTTGGCGTCCCGCGACGGCACACGCACGCGGTACTGCTTGATCACGTCCAGCGACAGCTGCTCCTTGGGCACGTAAACTTGATTGGCGCTCGGCACGACTCGCTGAGCGAATCTCTTGACTCGCTCGTTGAACGTCGCAGAGAAGAGTAGAATCTGGCAGAGAAAGGGGAGCAGGGGGAAAGGAAGGGGCAGAGGGCATGCGGTACTGCTTGATCACGTCCAGAGAGAGCTGCTCCTTTGGCACGTAGACTTGGTTGGCGCTCGGCACGACCCGCTGGGCGAACCGCTTGACTCTCTCGTTGAAGGTGGCTGAGACGAGAAGAATCTGGCAGTTTGAAGAAGAGGAAAGGGGAAGAGAGGAAGAGGGGGGCACGTGGCACTGCTTGATCACGACCAGAGACTGCTGCTCCTTGGGGATGTAGACTTGGTTGGCGCTGGGCACGACCAGCAGGGCAAATCTCTTGACTCGCTCGTCGAACGTCGCAAAGAAGAGAAGAATCTGGCAGAGAAAGGGGGGCAGGGGGAAAGGAAGGGGCAGCGGGCATGCAGTACTGCTTGATCACGTCCTGGGACAGCTGCTCCTTGGGCGAGTAGACTGGGTTGGCACTGGGTGTACCACGCGTTGGGCGAACCGCTTGACTCTCTCGTTGGATGTCGCTGAGAAGCGAATCATCTGATGCGGAGTGGGTCGATTTTTGAGTCGACTCATTACACACGAATCATCTGATGCGGACTGGGGGGGCGGAGAGGCGCGCACGCAGTACTGCTTGATCCCATCCAAGGACAGCTGCTCCTTGGGCACTTACACCTGGTAGCCACGTACACCTGGTAGCCACGTACACCTGGTAGCCACGTACACCTGGTAGCCACGTACACCTGGTAGCCACGTACACCTGGTAGCCACGTACACCTGGTAGGCACTCGGCACTCGGCACTCGGCACTCGGCACTACTCGTTGAGCGAATCGTTTGACTCTCTCAATGAAGGTGGCCGAGAAGAGAAGAATGTGAGAGGGACACTTGGGGGGTAGGGCGCACGGCGCACTGCTTGATGACGTTTGGACTGCCTGACGGTTGCGGTTTGGATTCCACATCGTGACAGATTGGAATACCTTACGGTTTGGGTTGCCTGACGATTTTAAATATCTCACAGCTTGAGTTACCTACCTGGCAGGTGGAGTTGCTCTACCTGGTTGGTGGGGTTGCTCTACTGGGCAGGTGGGGTTGCTCTACCTGGCTGGTGGGGTTGCTCCACCTGGCAGTTTGAATAGAAGGACAGAGACATCGACTTTACCTGGCAGGTGGGGTTGCTCTTAGTGATGAACTGAATCATTCGAATGGAGTCGTCTTGAAACCCGTCCTGCATGAGGGACAAGTGCGACAAGGGGGAAGGGGGGCAGACGAATGGGCAGAATCAGCGACAAGGTCGACTTAGCGATGAATCCATTTGAACAAAGCGACAAGTGCGACAAGGGGGAAGGGGACAGACGACAGGGCTGAGATGAGAGCGACGAAAGCCAATCTACGGATGCCACAAGAATGGATTGCAAAAACGCATGACAAAGTCGCATGGAGAGGGAGGGGCGACTGCATGGATCCAACACGCCCCCATTCAGAGGTGACTTTTGAGTCAACTCAAAAGTCACCTACGACTCAGGGTTTTGGGCTCGCCTGACCACATCTGATGCACGCACGCACCTGGTCCAGCATGTGGTCCGCCTCGTCAAACACCAGGATCTTGATGTTCTTCACTGGTAAAATCCGGTCCTTAGTCATCCACCGCTTGAGCGTGCCCGGGGTGCCGATGACCACCTGGTCGCCCAGCCTCGTCTGCTCCGAGGACGACACGATGGTGCCGGTGCCCTCTGACGCCGTGCACGCGCACGTGATGCCCGTGTACTTGGCCATGCGCAGCAATACAGCTTCGTTCTGAGGGTGGGGTGGAGGGGATGGGGGGGAGGGGAAGGGGGGGAGGGAAGGGTTTGCTCTGAGGACGACACAATGACGCCGGTGCCCTATGACGCCGGTGCCCTATGACGCCGGTGCCCTATGACGCCGGTGCCCTATGACGCCGGTGCCCTATGACGCCGGTGCCCTATGACGCCGGTGCCCTATGACGCCGGTGCCCTATGACGCCGGTGCCCTATGACGCCGGTGCCCTATGACGCCGGTGCCCTATGACGCCGGTGCCCTATGACGCCGGTGCCCTATGACGCCGGTGCCCTATGACGCCGGTGCCCTATGACGCCGGTGCCCTATGACGCCGGCCTATGACGCCGGTGCCCTATGACGCCGGTGCCCTATGACGCCGGTGCCCTATGACGCCGGTGCCCCCCCCCCCCCCCCCCCTATGACGCCGGTGCCCCTATGACGCCGGTGCCCTATGACGCCGGTGCCCTATGACGCCGGTGCCCTATGACGCCGGTGCCCTATGACGCCGGTGCCCTATGACGCCGGTGCCTATGACGCCGGTGCCCTATGACGCCGGTGCCCTATGACGCCGGTGCCCTATGACGCCGGTGCCCTATGACGCCGGTGCCCTATGACGCCGGTGCCCTATGACGCCGGTGCCCTATGACGCCGGTGCCCTATGACGCCGGTGCCCTATGACGCCGGTGCCCTATGACGCCGGTGCCCTATGACGCCGGTGCCCTATGACGCCGTGCCCTATGACGCCGGTTGCCCCATGACGCCGGTGCCCTATACGCCCCCATGCGCCGGTGCCCTATGACGCCGTGCCCTATGACGCCGGTGCCCTATGACGCCGGTGCCCTATGACGCCGGTGCCCTATGACGCCGGTGCCCTATGACGCCGGTGCCCTATGACGCCGGTGCCCTATGACGCCGGTGCCCTATGACGCCGGTGCCCTATGACGCCGGTGCCTATGAGCCGGTGGGGGCCTATGACGCCGGTGCCCTATGACCTCCCTATGACGCCGGTGCCCTATGACGCCGGTGCCCTATGACGCCCCTGCCCCCATGACCCCCCGCCCGGTGCCCTATGACGCCTGCCCCTATGCCCGGTGCCCTATGACGCCGGTGCCCTATGACGCCGGTGCCCTATGAGCCGGTGCCCTATGACGCCGGTGCCCCTATGACGCCGGTGCCTATGACGCCGGTGCCCTATGACGCCGGTGCCCTATGACGCCGGTGCCCTATGACGCCGGTGCCCTATGACGCCGTGCCCTATGACGCCGGTGCCCTATGACGCCGGTGCCCCTATGACGCCGGTGCCCTATGACGCCGGTGCCCTATGACGCCGGTGCCCTATGACGCCGGTGCCCTATGACGCCGGCCCTGCCCCCCTATGACGCCGGTGCCCTATGACGCCGGTGCCCTATGACGCCGGTGCCCTATGACGCCGGTGCCCTATGACGCCGGTGCCTATGACGCCTGCCCTATGACGCCGGTGCCCTATGACGCCGGTGCCCTATGACGCCGGTGCCCTATGACGCCGGTGCCCTATGACGCCGGTGCCCTATGACGCCGGTGCCCTTATTGACGCCGGTGCCCTATGACGCCGGTGCCCTATGACGCCGGTGCCCTATGACGCCGGTGCCCTATGACGCCGGTGCCCTATGACGCCGGTGCCCTATGACGCCGGTGCCCTATGACGCCGGTGCCCTATGACGCCGGTGGCCCTATGACGCCGGTGCCCTATGACGCCGGTGCCCTATGACGCCGGTGCCCTATGACGCCGGTGCCCTATGACGCCGGTGCCCTATGACGCCGGTGCCCTATGACGCCGGTGCCCTATGACGCCGGTGCCCTATGACGCCCGGTGCCCTATGACGCCGGTGCCCTATGACGCCGGTGCCCTATGACGCCGGTGCCCTATGACGCCGGTGCCCTACCCGCCCTGACCCCCCATGCCCGGTGCCCTATGACGCCGGTGCCCTATGACGCCGGTGCCCTATGACGCCGGTGCCCTATGACGCCGGTGCCCTATGACGCCGGTGCCCTATGACGCCGGCCCATGACGCCGGTGCCCTATGACGCCGGTGCCCTATGACGCCGGTGCCCTATGACGCCGGTGCCCTATGACGCCGGTGCCTATGACGCCGGTGCCCCTATGACGCCGGTGCCCTATGACGCCGGTGCCCTATGACGCGGTGCCCTATGACGCCGGTGCCCTATGACGCCGGTGCCCTATGACGCCGGTGCCCTATGACGCCGGTGCCCTATGACGCCGGTGCCCTATGACGCCGGTGCCCTATGACGCCGGTGCCCTATGACGCCGGTGCCCTATGACGCCGGTGCCCTATGACGCCGGTGCCCTATGACGCCGGTGCCCTATGACGCCGGTGCCCTATGACGCCGGTGCCCTATGACGCCGGTGCCCTTGACGCCGGGCCTATGACGCCCGGTGCCCTATGACGCCGGTGCCCTATGACGCCGGTGCCCTATGACGCCGGTGCCCTATGACGCCGGTGCCCTATGACGCCGGTGCCCTATGACGCCGGTGCCCTATGACGCCGGTGCCCTATGACGCCGGTGCCCTATGACGCCGGTGCCCTATGACGCCGGTGCCCTATGACGCCGGTGCCCTATGACGCCGGTGCCCTATGACGCCGGTGCCCTATGACGCCGGTGCCCTATGACGCGGTGCCCTATGACGCCGGTGCCCTATGACGCCGGTGCCCTATGACGCCGGTGCCCTATGACGCCGGTGCCCTATGACGCCGGTGCCCTATGACGCCGGTGCCCTATGACGCGGTGCCCTATGACGCCGGTGCCCTATGACGCCGGTGCCCTATGACGCCGGTGCCCTATGACGCCGGTGCCCTATGACGCCGGTGCCCTATGACGCCGGTGCCCTATGACGCCGGTGCCCTATGACGCCGGTGCCCTATGACGCCGGTGCCCTATGACGCCGGTGCCCTATGACGCCGGTGCCCTATGACGCCGGTGCCCTATGACGCCGGTGCCCTATGACGCCGGTGCCCTATGACGCCGGTGCCCTATGACGCCGGTGCCCTATGACGCCGGTGCCCTATGACGCCGGTGCCCTATGACGCCGGTGCCCTATGACGCCGGTGCCCTATGACGCCGGTGCCTATGACGCCGGTGCCCTATGACGCCGGTGCCCTATGACGCCGGTGCCCTATGACGCCGGTGCCCTATGACGCCGGTGCCCTATGACGCCGGTGCCCTATGACGCCGGTGCCCTATGACGCCGGTGCCCTATGACGCCGGTGCCCTATGACGCCGGTGCCCTATGACGCCGGTGCCCTATGACGCCGGTGCCCCTATGACGCCGGTGCCCTATGACGCCGGTGCCTATGACGCCGGTGCCCTATGACGCCGGTGCCCTATGACGCCGGTGCCCTATGACGCCGGTGCCCTATGACGCCGGTGCCCTATGACGGCCGGTGCCCTATGACGCCGGTGCCCTATGACGCCGGTGCCCTATGACGCCGGTGCCCTATGACGCCGGTGCCTATGACGCCGGTGCCCTATGACGCCGGTGCCCTATGACGCCGGTGCCCTATGACGCCGGTGCCCTATGACGCCGGTGCCCTATGACGCCGGTGCCCTATGACGCCGGTGCCCTATGACGCCGGTGCCCTATGACGCCGGTGCCCTATGACGCCGGGTGCCCTATGACGCCGGTGCCCTATGACGCCGGTGCCCTATGACGCCGGTGCCCTATGACGCCGGTGCCCTATGACGCCGGTGCCCTATGACGCCGGTGCCCTATGACGCCGGTGCCCTATGACGCCGTGCAAACACGTGTGATGCCCGTGTACTTGGCCATGCAGGACAAGACAGCTTCGTTCTAAGAGGGACGGGGGGAGGGGGGCAGGGGAAGGATTTGCTATGCGGACCACACGATTGTGGTGGTGCCCTGTGACGCCGTGCGCGCACACCTGATGCCCGTGTACACTTGGCCAGCTCGCGCGTGGGGCGGATGCAGAGGGCCTGCGGGGAGCTGGGGTGGAAGCCTCAATCCTCCTCCCTGGCCCCTCATCCTCCCTCCCACTCCCTCCCCCCATATACCCCCGTGGAGTCACCCACCTGCTGGGCCAGCTCACGCATGGGGCAGATGCAGAGGGCCTGCTTTGTCTTGAGCTGCGACCATCCCACCTGCTGCGCCCCCCCCTCCCCCCCCCCCCCCCCCCCCCTCAACATGGCCCTCTGCTTTGCAAACAGCTGTGCTCTACCTACCAACCGCCACCTCCCTCACCTGCTGGGCCAGCTCGCGCGTGGGGCAAATGCAGAGGGCCTGCGGCGTCTTGAGCTGGGGATTCACTCGCGACAGCATGCCCAGCACGAAGCACGTGGTCTTGCCCGACCCGTTGTGCGCCTGGGGGGGGTTGTTGTTAGCAGGGAGGGAGGGTACGACAGGAAAAGAAGGGGAGCAAAACGGCTTGAGCTGGGGATTGACTTGCGACAGCATGCCCAGCATGGCGCCCGTGGTCTTGACTGATCCACTGTGGGAGTCTATTTTTGAGGCGCCTCAAAAATAGACTTGCGACAGCATGGAGCCCCGCATGGCGCCCGTGGTCCTGCCTGATCCGCTGCGCGCCTGTGTGAGGGAGGGGAGGGAGGGGAGGAGAGTCTTGAGCTACGGGTTACTGCAGGATAGCACGCCCATCACGAAGCACGACCTGTTGTGCACTTAGGGGGGGGTTGTTGTAAGCGGGAAGGGAGGGCAGGACGAGAAGAGATGGGGAGGAAGACGGCTTGAGCCCAGGTTGACTCACGATAACATGCCGAGGACAAAGCAGGACGTGGTCTTGCCTGGCCTGTTGTGTTAAATCCCAACAAGGGTTTGGGGTTTAAGATTTAGGGGTGGCACTGGGTGGTACAGAGCCATGCCTGTGCCGTATCGCTATCTGATACAAAGGACCAATTGAGAGTGGCAGCCTGGATCTAGGAGGGGCGCTAGAAAACGGGTCAACCCTATAAAGGCTTACTGGAGCAATCAAATTGGCGTTGACAAGTTGCAAGATCAAGGGGAGAGTGACAGGCTGAATCTTGGAAGGCCGACTTTTGAGTCGACTCAAAAGTCACCTCGAATCTTGGAAGGCCATTCATTCATTCATTCACACGCAATGAAGTCTTGAAGAAACACTCACTTGAGCAATCAAATTAACGTTTGGTGGCTGTGGAATCATGCAGGGTCTTTTTTAGAATTCTCAAATTAACGTTTGGTGGCTGTGGGATCATGGGCAGGGCTGAGTAACAGCCTGACTGTTGGAGGGCCGTGCATTCACTCACACGATTGACTTGTTTGGCTGAGGCTCACCTGGCCGATGAGATTGGCATTGGGAGGGAGCAGGGTCATGGGCAGAGTGACGGCCTGGATATTAAAGGGGCGTGCATTCACTCACAAGGTCGGCCTATGAGGCTGCTACTCACCTGGGCGATGAGATTGGCATTGGGAGGGAGCAGGATCATGGGCAGAGTGACGGCCTGGATCTTGGAGGGCCGCTCAAACTTCATTTCGGAGTAGAGGCCCCTCAGCAGCGGCTCTGAGAGGTTGAGCTCCTCGAATGTCTTGGCGGACGAGTAGGGCGTCTCTGCGGCAACCACCTGATGGGATCATGGGAGTTGGGAGATGGGGGTTGGATAGCTTGAAGGGCCGTTCGAATCTCGGAGTAGAGGCCTCTCAGCAAGGACTCTGACAGGTTGAGCTCCTCAAACGTCTTGGCGGATGAGTAGGGCGTCTCTGCAGCCACCACCTGATGGGGGTTGGAAGGGATGCAGGGTCGTTTGGAGGGGCGTGCAAACTTCATCTCGGAGTAGAGGCCCCTAAGCCGTTACAAGTAAGCGAGCACTTGGGCACAAGATTCGCCGAGAATCTCGTGGCCGAGCCACACCGACTCACTAGTGCGCGCTTTTCTTTCTTGGTCTCGTGCCTAAGCTGAGCTGAGCAACGTGCCTGGCGGGTTCGGGTCATGCTCAGACGACGCATGAGGCACGTCGCTCAGACGACGCATGAGGCACGTCGCTCAGACGACGCATGAGGCACGTCGCTCAGACGACGCATGAGGCACGTCGCTCAGACGACGCATGAGGCACGTCGCTCAGACGACGCATGAGGCACGTCGCTCAGACGACGCATCAGGCACGTCGCTCAGACGACGCATCGGGCTCACCCACCACACCACCCCCGCGCTGCCAGTTTTCACCTCGAGCTCACTGCCTCCTCGCCTGCCGAATGCTTTTCGTGAGCAGAACCCCACACCTACCTTCTTGATCTCGTGCTCCGAGGCGCCTCACTGCTTTTGAGGCGCCTCAAAAGCAGTCTCAGTTTTGAGGCGCCTCAGAAGCGTGAGCAGAACCCCACACCTACCTTCTTAATCTCGTGCTCGGACCCGTCAGGCACGTCGTTAAGTTCCCCCGTCTTGATGCTCGGGTCGGGTTGGTCCACCACGCCTTCGCTGACCTTCAGCGACTCCAACTCCGCCGCCGCCTTCTCAGGGCTTTCGCCGAATTCCGCGTTCTTCGCCGCAGATCGCGGCGTCAGGCCTGGCGGCGCGTCTTCATCGTCTTCCGCTTCCTTCGCCGCCACCTCCGCCGCCGCCGCCGCTGCCGCCGCCTTGAGCTCCGCCTCCTTCTGCTCGGCTTCCTCCTCCTCCGCCGAATCCGCCCATGACTCCCGCTTCGGCTTCGTCGAATCCATCTGCTTTTCCTACCCTTTCCGTGGAGAAATGGTTGGAAAGACGCAGCGCACACGAGCAAGACTCTGGAAGCGTCGCACGGAGACGACGAGTCTGGTCTAGAATAGGATCAGGCCAAGGAGACGGACGGTTCAGAGCAAGAAGAGACAGATTCGTCTCGTGACTACCGCTACTGGTGCCTCGAGAAAAGGGATTTCGCCTAGGGATAATCTCAACTACATACTGCTTGAGGACAGAACCAGATAACTTCGCAAAAGTCTCGCTCGATAGAAGACTGCAATTTCGTTTGCTCGTATGCACACTTGACACTGTAGATCCGTGATCTACATATGTATTCGTTATCTCGGGGTTTACTGAGGTTTTTATTGAACGAATTTGTTTACAGTGCAGTACTAGGGTTGCGTGCGACCTTGGGCTTCACGACAGCTTCGGGCTTTACGACATGACTGAAACGACCAGAGCGCAGTCGTTCGCCCAATCGCCTCGCACGATTTCTGTCACCTCGCCAGCCGCCACCACACCAGCCCCAACTAATCCAACTTCGGGGCAGGTTGGCTGGCAGCCAGACGCCGCTAAGCGATCAGGCTGCGATCAAATTCTCTCGCGAAGATCGCAAGTCGAGCATTTGCGACCGGCGAATAGGTTCCATGTGCTCGGCGCGAACTCTGCGACTGGGTTGGTTTGGGACCTGATGTCGCAAGGCCAACAATTGCAGCCATTCTTGGACGGCTGTAACCGAGGCGAGGGCAGGGCAGGCGACTCAGGCGAGGCGACCGTTGCTTGCTTGCTGATCTGGTCTGGTGGTCCCTCCTGTGGCAGCCAGCAAGGAATATTCGTTCATGACCTCGATCCTGTGGTCAGCAAACCGACCAAATAGCTTGGATTGCAGCACTGCCATTAGACTTTATTTTGTTCCTCATACTGACGAACCGAGTTTGTTGGACTGAAGCCCAACTGCCACATATTGTCTTGTCTCTTATCCTTACCATTTTCCTCCCGTCCCAACGTACCTCCCCGGTTTTCCCTTTTGTCTTCGAAATCGCCTGTCAAGTGATGACCTAGTGCTCCAATGGTGGATCCTCCCACTATGGCGAATCTTCCCGCTAGGGTTAATCTTCCCGCTATGGCGGATGTAAGCGACGATCTGCTGGGTCTCATCCTCTCGCACCTCCGCCTACCAGACCTCGCTCGCTGCGCGCGTGTCTCCCGCACTTTCCGCCGCGTTTGCCGCGACGATCAGCGCCTGTGGCAGCCAGCGTGCGACCGCCGCTGGGGCCATGTCACCTCCTTGCACACGTGGCTATCCCCTGCTCCTCAATCCGCGTGGCAGCCGCGCGATCAGCAGCCACGTCAGCTGGCGTCTTTTAAGGAGCTCTACCACGTGCTTGACACGTGGGAGTCGCTGATTGGTTTTTGGCGAGGAGTCGGCGACGGCGGCTTGGGGTCGCTCGTCGCATTCCAGTGGCGAGACGGCTTTATCGAGGGAGTGCGCGTGCTTCCCGCAGCGCCGGTCGGCCCGCCAGCCAATCACAGAGCAGTCGACGATCGACGCCGTCGTCGGTACGACGATGATGAACGGTTCGCAGGGCGGGATGAGCATGGCGATCGACACGGCGATCGACATGGGGATGCGAAAGGCGTTTCGCCGTACGCCGTGGTTCGGGTTCCGTTCCTCCGCGTCTTCCTCGCTGCTCGTCTCTACGTCACACCCGATATTGGATACTCCGGGTGCCGGAAAGGGAATTTTTGCCATGAGCGCAGCGACGGTGCGACATGTATAGGGAACTGTACGTGTTCTGGGTGTGGCGATACTTGGCGAGACGGGGACTGCAGCTCGGCGTGGTCTCAGATTGGCTCGTCGGCTGTGTCTTGCTGGCTCGACGCTGATTGGCCGACGCATGCTGACGAGATCATGCTGTCAGCTGGGTCGACCAGTGGCAGAGGGACACGTGGCAGCCATCCCAGCAACAGCAGCAGCAACGGCAGCGGCAACAGCAGTAGTCTTAGTACCAGGGATTGGGGCAGCAGCAGCAGCAGCAGCAGCAGCAGCAGCAGCAGCAGCAGCAGCAGCAGCAGGGAGGGGGGAGGGGTGTGGGTGGCAGCGGAGTTAAGGTTCGTGTCAGGGAATCACCTCGTGGTCTCTGCTGGGGGGGCTCAGCACGTGCTGGGATGGTGCCATGGCGCCAAGGGAAACAGGCTGTCACGTGCTGGTTACCCTAGCGCTGGTTACCCTAGTGCTGGTTACCCTAGTGGTGGTTACCCTGGGAGCTGGAACAGGAGTAGCAACGGGAGCAACAGGGGAGGCCCTAGTCTCATTAGCGAAGTGCGGCTTTCCTCGTCGTTACCTCATTCGTCACCGTCCTACGCGCACTCCCCATCCTCCCGGCCTCGCCCCTCCTCCTCTGCCTTCCCCCCCTCTGCAAACACCTCGTCTTTCCTCGCCTCCCCCCAGCCCTGCCCACTCTTCGCCTCCCCTTCCCCCTCCCCCTTGTCCTCCGCCTCCCCGCACACCCCCTCGCCCTCCCCTTCCCCCATCTTGCAGCAACAAGAGAGCCCTCCGCCAAGGCGCAACCTCCAGTTTGGGTCCCCTTCGCCTCCCCCCTCCCAGTCCCCTAAACCGGCTGCAACCGTGCAGTCTGACGCAAGAGTCAACGCCCCTTTCGCTCTCCTTTGCGAGACTGAAAAAGTGGCGCAGGCAACCGTCCAGGAAGGGGAGGGAGGGGAGAAGACGGGAGTGGAGGAGGAGAGGGAGGAAGGGGAGCAGGAAAGAGTGAAGGGAGGAGCGACGGGGGGGACGCAGAAGAGGGTTCAGTTTCAGGTGGACGATCTCGCGTGTTCTCGCCTGTATCATGCTAGGGAGAAGGAGCCGAATAGCAGCGTTGTTCTGACAGATACAGCTGACGCCGAGCGCCTCTCCTCTTCCCTGCCCAACCCCTCTCCCTCCTGGTCCGCCTCTCCCTCTGCCTCCTCCCTCCGTTCCTCCTCCATCCACGCGCCCTTCGAGCTCTACCAATCGCTGGCGTCCAGGTCAGCAGCAGCGGGCGCCAGCAAGGCACTGAGGAAGCAGCAGCGGAGGGAGAGGCAGCGAGCAGCAGAGATAGCAGAGGCAGGGGGCGTGCGCAGTCAGCTGTCTGCTGGCAATGCTGCTGTGGAGTTGGTTGGAAGTGAGAGAGCGGTGGGGAGAGAAGAGGCGGGAGGGAGAAGGGCGGGGAGGGAAGAGGTGGGAAGGGGAATGGTGGGCGGAGGGGTGGTTGGAAGGGGATGGGTGGGAAGAGAGGAGGAGGAGCATTTCGTGAGGGTGATGGGATACCAGCTGGAGCCGTCGTCATTGTGCCCCCTCCAGGGGCTGTGGAAGGTGAGGCGTGGGTGGGTTGTATGGTGCATAGCATATGCTGCAGAGGCCGATTACATTTAAAACAGTGCCCACGAAAACTCCCTCCAGCTTCTGTTTGGACATGCGGTCCTCGTGCCTGGATTATCTTTTTGTCTTCTTGTTTCCGTACCTATTTACAGGCTTATTTAAGGGCCCAATACAAGCAGCACCCTCCTTACTCTGTTCTCCTCTCCTCATCCCCTGTTCCCACAGGGCGTCTGCCAGCACCGCAGCCTAGATTTCATCCTGCTCACATGCAGCGAATCCGGACAGCTGCAGTGCCGCAGAGTGGCGCAGTACAAGCAGCCCCCAGCACACGCCATGGCCGTTACCACCACCAGGAGCAGCGAGCGGCGCATGCGCCGACGGCAGGCGAGAACACGGGACAGGGGGGGGAGAGGGGTGAGAGCAGGAGCTGGAAGAGGGGACGAGGCAGAACGAGGTGCAGCACAGGGAGGGGAGCGAGAGAGGGGAGCAACAGACGAGAGGGAGGGACAGGAAGGAGAGCACAGGCAGCAGGGGAGGAGAGAGAGAAGAGCAGAGCAAGGGAGGTCATCCGTGCAGGCAGCACCTTGTGGCAGCACTTACAGCCGGCCGGGGAAAGCAGGGGCGCTGAGGTGGGTGGCGGATCTGTCCTCGTTTGTGAGTGCTCCTTTACCGCCTAAAGAGCAGCGGCTGTTTGACCTGAAGCGGCCTCTTTTCTCCCTGTCCGTGACGAGTAGGGAGAGGGAGAGGGGAGCCGGCGCAAGAACCAGTGACAGAGTGAGGGGGCAGAATGGCAGTGGCAGTAGGAGTGGCAGCAGCAGCAGCAGCAGCAGCAGCAGTGGGAGCAGCAGTGGGACGGAAGAGAGCAATGGGGAGGAGACTGAGAGTGATGATAGTGATGGTGATAGTAACGAGGCCAACGGATATGCTGGCAGTCATGGGAGGAGCTGGAGGGCAGAGGAAGCGCAGGCTGGCAGCAGCAATGGGGGAAGCAGGAGACTTGCTCATGCTGCTTTGGCTTCAAGCACATGGAAACCATCCACCGCTCCAGATTCAGTACCAGATTCCGTCCCAGATTGCAGTGAGAAATCTGGCTACTCAGCTGTAACAACTTTGCTCGAATCTGAGAGGGTGAAGGCTGCATGCGGCGAGGTGGATGGAGAAGTGGAAGAGGAGGGGGTGGAGGAGCGAGAAGTGGTGGGGATGTATGTGACTGTGCCCGATGGTGATTATGTTGAGGGTGTGGTGGGCTGCAAGCACCCCATGGCAGGGAGGGTGTGGCTGTATGCGAGTGGGGGGTTTGGGTACTGGTCGGCACACACGGACTATGTGATTGATTATAGGCGCGTGTGGCACAATGGGAGGCTGTGCCATGATGCCACTCCGCCATGGGCGCTTGAGGGTTGATCTTATGCGTCAGCCAGTGGCTGTATGTATGAGAGTGGATGGTTTGGGCACTGGTCAGCTCTGGAGGTCTGAGTATTTGCGTCATGAGCTGGACATGCATGGTGCATTGTGATGGTGTGCTATCAAGTTTTGAAAATGGTAGCAAATTCAAGTTGTTGTTTACTGGTCTGGCCGCGCCTACATTCCACCCAGCTAAGCAGGTCACGGACATGTTTGATGTGAGGGTGTAGTGTATATGTCGAGCAGCACTCATTTCAAGGCCAGTAGTTGATTGTGCTTCAATGTTCGTACGTGACCAATCTTCAACTGGTTGGTTTTTTCAACTTTCTACCTGTATCGCATTCTCCTCAATCGGGCGTGGAGAACCTTTTCCAAGAGGACAGGAGATGTCGTCGACTGTGCCAACGGCAGCCGTAGATCTCCAGCCCCTCGGCACTCATGGTCGCAGAAGCGTCCCTTCCCAATCAGGGGGGGATCAACCCTGACCGTCGATCATGCGATGTTCGACGATCCCGAGGAAGCTTTCTAGACCATCGACTAGCTCAACCCAGGTCCTTGACCAAGATCGGATGGCCCAGAAAGGACCAGGAGCAGTCTCAAGTCAACTCCGTGTAACCACGAACGTGTCAGAATGATACGACACCTCAGTGACCCTCAAGTCCTTACAACCCGCTAGGTACACGAGACGAGAGTTTCGCCATTGACACTGGTTCGGTTCCGTGTCGGACTGTCCAGGGGAGCAGAGCGCTAGCAGCGGTGTTAGAGGATTAGGGGAGGTACTACGCCGAAAAGTGTGGGATGTCACGCTGCTGCTGACGAGGTAGAGCAATCAGGATCAATTCGTTATTATGGGATTCGTTACTCTCACGATGGAATCACGGCACCACCGGATCGGATCAGGGCACGTGGCTGTTGGGTGCAACAGAGGGCTTTAAGGGAGTCCGCCAGAGGCGCCGTGATCTGCGGGAGACGGCCAGCAATTTCTAGTAGTACACCGATCGTCATTCTTCCCGTTTCCGTCCGTACGAGTCTCTCGTTTTTCGACTCGAATTCGGGATCATGCCGATTCCCCTCGCCATTCTTCGGCCGTCGTTGCGACCCTCCCGGTTCCCACACTCGACGGGCCATCTGCATTCATCAAGGTGTCTGGAAGATTCCCCACACTTAGCAGTAGGAGCCCGACAGCAACGAGTCTTAAGACTCGAAAGATTTTCGGTCTTAGCGGGCCGTCAGGAGGCCCACCACCTCGCGGCGTCGCCCGCGAGCTGGCTCCTGCTGCGACATTCGCGAACGAAACCGCCGCGAAGTGTTTTGTTCCGTGCGGCGGCTGCTCAGGGGAGTGCAGCATGGGATGGAGCAGCAGGGGGTGAAGGGGACGGGGTAGGGGAAGGGGAAGGAGAAGGAGAAGGAGAAGGAAACAGGAGCCGCTTCGCAGCAAGAGGCGGAGGGGAAGGGAAAGGAGCGGGGGAGGAGGAATTGCAGCAGGCACGAGCGCAGCAGGCGGGGAAAGGGGAGGCGGGGAAAGGGGAGGCGGGGAAAGGGGAGGCGGGGAGAGGAATCGGAGAGTGGCGGTGGAGAGTGGGACGGGTGATAGGCGTGGCGTGGTACATGTGCGTGGGCGCGCTGCTGCTGGTGTGCGCGCGGCAACTGATGGGCGTGCTTGTCCAACACAAGGTGAGAGGGATGGGCGGCAGATGAGAGAGATGGGAGGCAGATGAGAGGGATGGGCGGCAGATGAGAGGGATGGGCGGCAGATGAGAGGGATGGGCGGCGGATGAGAGGGATGGGCGGCAGATGAGAGGGATGGGCGGCAGATGAGAGGGATGCGCAGGTGATAGGCGTGTGTGCATGGGAGCTCTGTTGCTGGTGTGTGCGCGGCAGCTGAGGTGTGAGCTGGTGCTGGCCCAACACAAGGTGAGAGGGACTGGACTACGGCTCGTTCGCCCCTGCCATCGATCGCCCCTGTCCTCGTTATAGTCTTCCAGATTCGGGGCTTATTTTTGCTTTACTCTCCTCTCCTCGTTTTCCCTCTGGTTCTCCTCGCGTCCAATCTTCATTGTGCTCCCTCACTCCATCATCACTCCATCATCACTCCATCATCCCACCATTCGATGTATATCCGCAACCCGTTTGCCACGCTGTCAGATTCTTTCTCTCTTCCTCAGCTCCAATTTCGTCCAATCTTCATTTTGCCCCCGTGCACTTTTACCACACCAGACCATTTATATCTGCTACCCGTTTGCCACGCCTTCAGCCTCTTTCTCTCTCTTCGGCAGCTCCTTCCCTTGGCATGGCATGCGACAACCTCCTCCCTCCTATCTCTTTCCATGGCTCTGCAATTCCAAGACATCTTCCTCCTCTTCCCGAATCTCTCCTTCTTTCCACTTCCCCCTCCCCCCCTCCTCCCCTCCCCCTTCTCCCCCCCCCGGGGACAGGTCAACTCTCTTTTCGCCTTCACCTCCTCCCTCTCCTCCCTCCCCCCTCTCTTCTGGCAATCCCTCCTCCTCTCTTCAGCCCTCCTCCTCTCAGCCCTCTCCCGCCTCCTCTTCATGCCAGCAGCACCCTCGCTATTATCACCCCCTCTACAAGCATCTTCCTTTCAGACACACGCCTCTCCTGTAGCCGGCGCCGCTGCAGCTTACAGGGAGCACGGGCTGTCAGGGACGGGAGGGGCTGGAGCTGGTGCAGGGGGAGAAGCTGACACAGCAGGGATGTCACAGCAGAGGCACAAGGAACAGCAGCAACGGCAGCAGCAGCAGCGGCAGAAGCAGCAGCGCCAGCAGGCAGAGAAGGGGTCTGTAGCAGCAGCAGGGCAGGGAGGGGTGGGGGAGGGGGGGCATGTGAGCGTGGACGAGCTGCAGCAGGTGGTGCGCGTGGTGCATGCGCTGTCACGCCACGTGGAGAAGATCCAGCTGCAGGCGAGAGTCACGAGAAGGACGCTCCGAGACCCCATGCTGCAGGTATGCTCTCAGCTGCCTTGACTTGACTGGTGGTGCGCCGCGTGGTGTCAAATATCGGCTTCCGGTCTCTCTCAGTTCTTAAGGCGCCTCAAATATCGGCTACCGGTCTCTCTCAGTTTCTAAGGCGCCTCAAATATCGGCTTCCGGTCTCTCTCAGTTCTTAAGGCGCCTCAAATATCGGCTTCCGGTCTCAGTTTTTAGGCGCCTCAAATATCGGTTTCCAGTCTCTCTCAGTTTTTAAGGCGCCTCAAATATCGGCTTCCGGTCTCTCTCATTTTCTAAGGCGCCCCAAATATCGGCTTCCGGTCTCTCTCATTTTCTAAGGCGCCTCAAATATCGGCTTCTGGTCTCTCTCAGTTGTTGCAACAAGTGCTCTTTCAAAACGGCCATGTGATTAGTTTGGTCGTTTTGTAAGAGCACTTCGTGCCACGCTTGCTGGTGCCACGTCTCACTCTCCCACCGCGTCTCTGGGATTGCTCCCGCTGTCTTATCTCCCGTCCTTCTTTCTCCCAGCCCTCCCGACTGTCAGACAGCAAGGCTAGCAGAGGAGACATAGCTTCACGTGCCACCGTGCCACGTCTCACTCTCCCACCGCCTCTCCCGCCTCTCTTTCTCCCGTCTTTCTGCCTCCTCACCCTCACCATAATCAGACGGCAAAGTTAGCAGAGGCGACAGCGCAGCAGCTACAAGGCCTACAGGACGCCATGGTGGCAAGCAGGCGGGAGTCGGAGGAGGTGCAGCAGCTGCTGCTGGGCGTGCAGGACCAGTCCGTACGGCAGTTCGAGCTCTTTCTGACCTTTTTCCCCCTCTCCGTTTTTTCTCTCCCCCCCAGACGTCAAAACTGGCTGAGGCGACAGCACTGCAGCTGCAGGCAGTGCAGGACGCCATGGTGGCCTCTAGGCGGGAGTCGGAGGAGGTGCAGCAGCTGCTGCTGGGCGTGCAGGACCAGTCGGTGCGGCAGTTTGAGCTCTTCTCCAACTCGCTGCTCCAGCTACGGGCGCAGCAGGACAGGCTGAAAGCACAGCAGGACAAGCTCAGAGCACAGCAGCAGGGCAGCCGGGCACAGCAGGACTCAGGTCAATCCGTGCAGTTAGAGCAATTCGCGAAAGCTATGCAGCAGATGCGAGCGCAGCAGAGGGAGTTACAGGCGCAGCAGGCAGGGCTAAGGGCGCAGCAGGAGCAGGTACTGGCGGAGAGGGAGCTGCTGCAGGGAGAGCAGGGGGCCATTCAGTGCGCTCATGAGAGCCTGCTGGGCGCGCAGGAGAAGCTGCTGGTGCTGCTGTCAGCCGTGCAGCAAAGAGCAGAAGCACTCGGGACTCCTCAAGATCCTGAGAGTCCTGCTGCTGCTGCTGCTGTGGGGTCTTGGGGGTCGATCGATCCGGCGTCGCTGCAGGAGGTGCGGGAGCAGCAGGAGGGGCTTATGAGGGAGCAGGAGCGGCTGGGGCGGCGGCAGAGGGAGGTGGAGCGCGAGCAGCGGCGCATGGAGGAGTACCAGCGCCACCTGGCCGCGCGCCTGCTGGCAGCTGTGGTGGCCGTTGAAGAGATGAGGCGGGAGAGGGGGGTGAATGGCGGCAGTGGTGGTGGGGCGAGTGGTGATGCTGGTTCCAGTGGCGGTGGCGCTTCTGCTGCTGCGAATGGTCGTGCTGGTGCTGATTCGCCCGCGTCTGCAGCTTCCCCCCCCTCCTCCTCGTCCTCCTCCCCCTCCTCCTCGTCCTCCTCCCCCTCCTCCTCCTCCTCCTCCCCCTCCTCCTCGTCCTCCTCCCCATCCACCGTACCAGATGCATCACCAGCTGCGCCTGACTACTGGGCGGAGTGAGACTGGGGAGGCGGCAGAGGGAGGAGAGGGGGCAGCAGAAGGTGCTTGTGAGGGAGGAGGAGAGGATGGGGATGAGGCAGAGGGAGGAGGAGCAGAGAGGGGGCAGCGGCGCATGGAGTGCCCATGCGCCGCCTTACCTCTCCATGCAGCTGCTGCCGCTTCTTTATCAGGATCAGCATTACCAGAGTCATCCCCGAGGTTAGAGGAGTTTCGGGCAGATTGACGTAGAGTAGATCTGGTCGATGTGGAGACATTATGTGACACGGTTTGCACATTGATATTCTTTTTCCGCTCGAGCAGAAACTATCTTGCAGCGGAAGACTAGAACGTAGTATAGTATGTTGGGAGGAATCTCCATTTGTGTTTAGCACGCTACCTGCAAGAGGGCTTGCAAGCGGCACAGCAGTCTTCTCTTGCAAGGAAGGCAACAGCTGCCCCGGGTATGATCTGCCTCATTATTTTCTTCCTGGGGCGTCCAGCGGAGCCAACACAAGTTCGGCAAACGAAAGCCCAACGCAGGTACAGCACCACGAAAGCCTATCGTGGTTAGGGAGACGCACCACTCACATCCCTCACTCGCTCCCTCACTCGCTCCCTCCATGCTCGCGGCAGTTGCCGTCACGTGTGTCTTTCATGGCGGGACGCCGCACGGAGTAGCCTTTAGCAGCGACGATTGCGGCGCTGGCGGTCAGGAGATCATCCTCGCTAGTGAGTGTAACGCACTGCGTGAAATCCGGGCGTTACCTGAGGGAAGCATTATGTGTCGGCCGTCAAAAAGGTTCGGTCGTCTCGCGTTCTTTAATTTCAGACATTGGATCCAGTTACCTCCGTTCTGCTGTAAGGGCACTAACTCGACGTGATTCGAGGCGCCATAGAAAACTCGCCTGACGAAGAGATTCTGGCCCCAGCAACAAGCGAGGGCGACACGGTAGGAGTCCGACAGGAGAATGAAAGATATCTGACGAAACCAGTGACGTGAGAATGGCGACGTCGTGGAGACGTCAATGAGGCGGTCGGTATACTGGTGTTGTGCTAGCAGGCAGTCTGAGAAAGACCGAGGCAATGCACGTGGTCCTGAGAAGATCGAGCCGAGTGAGATGAAGCAAGTAGTTGAGCTGGCGATTTGCACAACCAATGGCCCCATGATGCAGAGTGAATAATTTTTACCGTTTACATATTTTCAAAGCCTAGCGGCGGCCTGCACGCAGAGATGTCGTGCTACTATCGGTGGTGACGGTAATGCCCCTGAGGCGTGCGCCAGAACCCTAAACCCTGAGTTATATATTCTCCTCACGTTGGCTAGCAGCCCCTAGGCTCGCTGCGTGCAGTGGGGTTTTCGTAGTCATTGCCTTTCCCATTGTAAAAAGGCCAATCCCTTAGCACGACATCGGAGATGCCTGTAACGGTTTGCCCGTGAGGATCTCCTCTGCAATCTTCCATTTTCTATTAGAAGGCCACGTCGGCTGGAGTCCCAAGGATCTGGCGTGCTGGCGGGACATCTTTCCAGCACGTGGATATTCCTACGTCACAGGCTGGAACGCCACGGATGCGTTGCGCATGTTCGATGCATCCTCCTTGACGTTCGAACTAGGCAAGACACGTCATCAACGCTCGTGGAGAAGTAGGGGAAGTGGACTAGGTGGGGTGTTTCGAAAGGGGGAGCTGGAATACTGGGGTGAATGGGAAATTGAATCTCGTTCTGGCAGCCGGTGTTCGTTTCGTTATTTTCCCCTTAAGTACGAGCTAACTATGATTCGTACTGACCCCACTGCCAGTTCCGGAGAAGTCGGCACAAAACCACCAAGTTCAGCCTAGACTTCTGAGCTAGACAAGACACCATTGCCGCCGCCCCTGTCTACAGTTTCCCACTGGCATGTAGTTGGGTACCAATAACAGGGATCCGTACAATGACCCTTCTACCCAGAAAACGGTAAAGTTACCCAAAGACACATGTGGGGCTGGGGCAGCCAGCTCCTTTTGTCATCCACCACCCAGCTAGCTCACCTCACTCATCACGTCACCATCGCAATTTCCTCGCTCTCTCGAATTCTCCTCAAATTCGCTTCTCGCCCATTTCTCAAACCAAGAAGCGCCACTCAGTCAGCCATTTGCACCTCTCTCCACCCATTCGACTGTTGTGTTCTTAGCCTTCCCAGCGTCTGCTATGGCCGCTATTGCCACTGCTCCTTCCACGGCGTCTCTCGCTCGCAGCCTCTCCACCCTCTCGGCTCCCGCGCGTAAGCACGCGTCTACGGTGCTGGTTAGCGGCTCGTCGTTCGTGAAGGGTAGCGTTTCCAGCCTCCGCCAGTCGTTGGCGATTAAGACTGCTTCCAGGAGCGCGTCTGCGTCCACCAAGGGCGGCGCGATGGGTGCCAACGCATCCGCGGCGACATTCGCGGGGAAGACTTTCCACGACTTCATTGTCAATGTTAGTAACTGCAATGAATGCCCCAACCAGTTTGGCGGGCAGGAGCCGGGCAGCAACGAGAAAATTAAGTAGTTCGCGTGCTCCAGATACCGCGCCACCTTCCCACTCTTTCACAAAGTACGGCAATCCGAATGAGAGTATTCTTACTTGTTCGTTGAAAATGGTTCTGTGAATGGGTGGGTACCTGTTCACTGTCGATGAATGACTAGCTCTGTGAGTGGAAGGCATCGTTCGTCATGATTCTTGAGTCGACTTAGAAGTCACCTCAGATGCGACGAATGACAAGCTCCGTCAGTGGAAGGCATCGCCCGTCATGGCATACTGAAGCCCTCCGATCCAGAGTGTTTCCGTCTTTTACGCGTGCCTACTTACCTCAGTCGAAGGCTCAACGAAGCATCTCGCCACAGCTGACTTGCTGATGCCATCTCGTGTCCATTCTGTTGGCCGTATGAAACATTGCCTCATCGTATGTGGAACCCACGCATAGCGCGTACAGCACGTTGCTAATTCTCACGCTTCCGATTCTCCCGAGCAGGACATCAACGGCAGCCCCGTGTCTCTGTCGCAGTACAAGGGCAAGGTCGTCCTCGTCGTCAACGTCGCCTCGGCATGGTGAGCATGCCTCCCCTTTGATTCAGTGGATGCTCTCCAGGGTGAGCATGCTTGCTTTCTTGGACAACTGAAGCGCGGAAGTGGATGCTGGGGAAACCGTATTATGGTTACATTTGTGGTAGTAGATGTAGTCTTTGAGACGTCTTAAAACGGGATTAGTAACACATTAATCTCACATCAATCGGTACACATGGCGGTTTTCCGGCCGCCTTTCGCCGGTCGTCTGACCCTACACTTACGGCTTGCGACGTCGCACAAGTCGCACACTTCTTACACGTCGCATACGCTCTTGCTCCAGGCTGACGTTACTTTCTTTCGTGAACCTTTCGCGCCCATTCCCGACAGTGGACTCACCGATTCCAACTACAAGGAGCTGCAGACGGTGTACGATAAGCTCAAGGACAGAGGTGAGTTATAATTCAGAAGCTATTAGTCTTTTTTCTAGTCGGTTTGAACGGCGCTTGGGCGTACGAAAAGCTCCGGGGCATGACCGAGGGCTTTTTCGTTGACATGCGGCCCCCGTTCGTCCGTCTTCCCTTCGGCCCTTTCCTTCTCCTCTCCCGTTTCCTTCCTTCCTCTCCCGGTTCCCCTCCCCTCTCCGTTCCGCTTCCCTCTCCGTTCCGCTCCGCTTTTTCTCCCCTCCCCTCCTCTCTTAAGCCTTGTTTTTTCTGTATCCTCGCCCTCTCCTCCCAAAACCAAACGTGCTTCCCACAGGCCTGGAGATCCTTGCCTTCCCGTGCAACCAGTTCGGCGGGCAGGAGCCGGGAAGCAACGAGAAGATCAAGGAGTTCGCGTGCTCCAGATACCGCGCCACCTTCCCGCTCTTTGACAAAGTATGGCAATCCGAACGAGAGTATTCCGTGTTTGTTGAAAATATTTCGACGTCCTGACTTATCCTTGGACACACTTAACTTACACCTCAAGAGCTGCGCCTTGCCTCGAAAATATTCACTGGTCTGAAACATACCCTGAAATATCTCCGAGCCTCAACTCCCCTCAAGGTGGATGAGAACGGGGCCACTGATTCCCGTGTACCAGTTCCTATGGACGCAGAAGGCTGAAAGACTGCTGGGTGGATGGCTCGTGTAACTGGCACCTTTTCCGATTCCTCCCCCTCCCCCCCCCCCCCCCCCCCCCCTCCCCCACCTTCCCTCTCTTGCCGTCTGCTTGATTTGTTTTCAGGTGGATGTGAACGGGGCGAACGCAGCCCCAGTGTACCAGTTCCTGCGGTCGCAGAAGGGCGGTGGGTTGCTGGGGGATGCGATCAAGTGGAACTTCGGCAAGTTCCTGGTGGACAAGGACGGCAAGGTGGTGGAGAGATACGCGCCCACCACCTCGCCGTCTGCCATTCAGGTGTGTGAATGTAGTGTTTTACCGATGCGCCTGGTGCATTGATGGGGATGCGTTTTCCATCAGGTGGAACTTTGGCAAGTTCCTGGTGGACAAGTTGGCAAGGTGATCATAAGGGAAAGTTAGCATATAGAGTCCATCAGCCTCGCTGGTCATGAGACACCCCCTCCCCTCCACTCCTCCCTGTATTCATCCCTTGTCAACTGTTGTCATCCACCAGTCCCTTTCCCCCATCCTCCTCTGCTGTAGGAACAAGCTCTGTTGCCATAGAGATTTAGCTGTCATGGGGACATTTGTATATTCCCCGTACATAAGCTCATTTTCTCTCCTAAATTCGCCATGTTTTCATGCAGGCCGATATCGAGAAGTTACTGTAACGTCAGTGTACTTTCTTCAGATGTGTTCAATAGCAAGGTATTAGTTCATATAAGTTGTCGAGTTACACTTGTGTATACGTGCTGTTAATGATATATAAGTAGAATTGCATACGTACGCACAAAAATAACGTAGTAATAGACATGAGAAGGATATGATCTACACGAGGAGAGTTTGTCATCACAAACGTAAAGGTAGTTATAAGCCCCTCACACTAAAATCCATAATCGGACATGATACTTGGTACAGTGGATAGCTGTGTCAAACTATCGAGCATAAACCATCTCCTTGCCTTTCGCTAATTGCCACGTTATATTTATCCCAAATACCTGCCACGTTAGACAGCAACTGTTCTGACCCCATTCTCGCAGGGGTATGCCAGGTTGAACAGCAAATGTTCGCTGCCTGCGCTTTGAACTGTTCCGTAAAAGCGAATTTGCCTGAATTGTGGCAGAAATCACCTGCGGAGTACACACCTGCCTCAGATAGCGAAACTCCTTTCCAAGCTTCATGGCCACAGAACTGGAAAGTAACCTGGTGAAGGCGATTCGGTCGCATCATGCTGCGACTCGCGGTTGCCAGAATTCCCCCGCCCCGAACCAAACCAGACCAGAGCCAACTGCTCTGTTGTTGACGCACTGCATATCGGTGATACTAATACCACAGGTAGTCGGTAATGTCTCAAAGCAGTTTAGCAGCGACCACAGAGAACCAACCTTCTCGAGTGAAGTAATTCATTCCACCCACATACCACCTGAGACGCAGCAGTACGCTTTACTTGGTAGTCACTCGCTCATTGAAATTTGCTGATTAAGAACCATGGCACGACTTTTGCTCCTAGCGTCGCTAGCAGTTCTCCTAGTGTCCGCCTCAGCAGAAACCGTCACCACAGGCCCCAGCAATCCCACGGTCTCCCTAGAGAAGGCCCTTGGATCCAATGGCGTGGCGTCGGAGGTGCCCAGCGGCATTGAGAAGGCGGCGGCGGCGGGCAACCTGGACAAGTTCGAGGGGACGACCGTGGTGAGCCCGAGCACGGACTCCATGCTGATGGTGGACGTGAAGAAGGCCGGGTGGAACGCGATGAAGTGCCACAAGGACCTCGGCGCGCCCGGGCAAGGCGCGTGCACGCCCGCCAACTGCAGCAAGGGCGGCATCCCCGCCAAGTGGAAGACGTCCAACCTGCTCAAGAACAAGCTCGGCGTGGAGGTGTACGTGAAGGGGAATCCGCTCACGCTCAAGAAGGCGTCGCCCCAGACGTGCTGCAACACGTGCGCGTCGTTCAAGAGCTGCACATACTGGCAGTACATCCCCGACATCACCATCGACGGCAAGAAGTCGGACGGCGCGTGCTACCTTGTTCACGACGACATCGACTACACGTGCGGCGAGCTCACCGCGCAGTACGCGACGGAGACGAAACCCGTGCACCTGCAGGTGCGCACGGGTGGCGAGTGCAACCCGCGCGCGAATGTCGTCAACGACCCGCATCTGGTCGGCGCGTTCGGCACCCACTTCGACTTCAACGGGCGCCCCGACAAGGCGTTCTGCCTTCTCACCGACAAGGACCTCCACGTGAACATGCTCCTCCGCGGGTACTACTCCGACGACACCGATAACGCGGCGCTGGTGGTGGACGGCAAGGCCGTGCACACGTGGATCAAGGAGCTCGGCCTCGTGTGGTTCGCCAAGGGCGCCGACCACAAGCTGCGCCTGGCGGCTCGCGGCGGCAAGCAGCAGGAGCGCGGCGACGGGTTCATGAAGACGATCGAGATCGACGGCGAGGAGATCCCCAGGATGAGCGTCGGCGACGAGGTGACATCCGAGGGCGGGCTCACCCTGCGGTTCGCTGCGCTCGAGAAGGAGGGTCCGTATGATGTGGACTACTATACCCTCAGCATCGAGGGGCTGGTGGCGCTCGACCTGAGGCTGCGCGTGGCCAACCCGAAGCTGCAGACGCCCAACGACGCGGAGGCGCACATCAACGTGGGCATTGTGGAGCTGGAGCACACCGACGACGTGCACGGCGTGCTCGGCCAAACCTACCGCCCCGACCACGCGGCGCGCGCCGCCAACTTCCAGAAGCTGATCGCGAACCTGCACCGTCCGATCTCGTCCGACAGCGAGGAGGGCGTTGGGTTCCTCGACGGCACTCCCCGGTCGTACGAGTCGAGCTCCGTGCTGGCCGTGGACTGCGCGCACACCGAGTACCACCGCGCCAAGCAGCTGAGCCCCGTCGAGGAGTTCCCCATGGAGCCCCTCAATTAGACGCGCTTCACGGACGTGCTTGTAGCGAGTATGGTGTAATTTGGTGGGTTCCCTTGGTGGGCTGATTTGTGCACGCGCTATAGCGTGCATCTGTATTGTATACAGACCTCGAATAAGGCCTATTCTTTGTTGTAGCTGGGCTCCTGCCCGTGCTCTATATACTAGGTTCCAATCTTGAAATTGTGCAACTGTTGTCCCAATCCTGCTGTGCATCTCCTAACAAATTATATCACCAGAATCAACTGTTAACAAGCAAACCCTAGTAACTGCTTACCCAACCCTCTCCACCCTTGCTGCAATTACTACCGCTACTCCCTCCTTTGCTACCATTACAGTCACGTCCTCGCCATCCTCCCCACTCTCAATTTCCCTGGGCTGACTACCACAGAGAAACACCTGTCATTGGTCCCTGCCTCAAAAATTGAAATATTGTCACGTCCTGCAAGCTCCATGGGCGCACCCGCAACCGAGGGGAAAGTAGCCAACGGCGTGACTATATGGGGGGGCGAAGGTGGGGCAGAGGCATGTGCAGGTTCAACCTTGGCAGATGTGTTAGGTTAGGTGTGAGTGGAAGAGTGCGGGAAGGGTGGGCACTACTTCAGGGGGGGAGGGAGGGGGGGAGTGGAGTGGGAGGGAGGGGGGTGGGAGGTGGAGGCGAGGAGGAGATGGCGCCACCGCCATTGCATGCTGCACGCCTGGCAGCGCGCTCACAGGCGGCAGACCTGCTGACCTGCCTTGCAACCCCCGTGTGGAGCTGCCATACGCCCCCACTGCTGCCGCCCCTTCAGTTGCAGCAAGCCCCGGCTTGAAGCCCAAGTCCTGTTCCATGCTCACTCCCTGTGCCCGGCCCAACCCCTCCAGGGGAAACGTCTTAAAGCCCAGGTAGCCCAGCTCCTGCTCGTCCACGGTCACTCCTGCCTGCTCTGATGGCTCCCTTGATGCAAGCACATCCGCTAGAGTCACATCCATGCCAGGCTGGCGCATGTGCTCAGAGGTAGGCGCCACCATGCCGCCCGGTGCCACCATTGCGTGCCCCCCCCGCTCCTCTGTCACCGCACCCAACCCATGCTTAAACCCGGGGTAGGACCCATGCACTAGATCATCATCCCTTGCTTCCTTTCCTCCAGTCCCAAGTCCACTACTGCTGTTCTCACTTCCGCTGCTAACGTCTTTCGACCCTTGTCTGCTGTCCATGTCACTCCCTCCTCCACCCCTCTGCCAGCCACCGTTTCCCTGACCTGCTTCCCCGAGAGATCGATCCGGTGCCAGCTCAATCCATGCAGGGTGCAGTGCCGGATCATCTGAGCCGTCCATTCCTCTATCACCATCCTGTCCTCCTCCTTCTGCCATTGCTCCCACACCCTCTCCCTCTCCCCCACCCCCTCCTCCCATCCCCCTTTCTCCTCCTCCCACCACCTCCCCTCCAACCCCAGTTTCACCCGGCACAGCTTCAACAGCGTTCAGAAGAGGGTTCATACCGTATCAGCAAAGGGGTTCTGGGTTTTTACAAGGGGGTCGAGGGTGTTCACAGGGGGGTTTAGGCTATTGACAAAAGGGTTCCTGCTTTCAACAAGAGGGTCCAGGGTGTGGGCAAAAGGGTTCTGGGTTTCCACGAGGGGGTCGCGGGTGTTCACCGGGGGGTCTGACGGGTGCACAAGAGGGTCGGCTGAGGGCGCGAACTGCTCCGTTGCTACTTCACTTTCCGTAAAGCCTGGCGGCAGGTTAATGTATGTGAGTGCTGCTACAACTGGGTTGGGATTTGCTACAGCCGGATCAGTTGCTGCTACAACTGGTTCGGATGCTGTCACAGCCGGACCAACAGCTGCTACAGTCGGGTCAGTTGCTCCTACAGCCAAATCAATTTCTACTACAGCCGGATCCAAGTGCAAGGCTTGTTGCCGTTGCTGCACAGGGTTCGCCTCGGGGTGGGGGCACCAGTCCCCAGTGCTCCGAGCTGGCAGTGCGCAGGTGGTCTCTCTCCGAACCTCTGTGGTGGGCTCGATGTGGTGAGGTGCCTCCAAGCAGGTGCCCCTGGGGACGGCAGAGGCAAGGTGGGTGGGGTCCAGAGGAGGCAGAGACACGAGGAACCGGACTGTATCCAGCTCCGCCACCCCCTCTTCCTCTTCCTCAGCTGGAACTGCCTTCACTGCTTGACCCACATCGACCCTTCCAGTCACGTTCACCTCTTGAGCCCTGTTGCTTGCTGGGTGTAACGCATCTGTGTTGCTGGGAGCAGCAGCACCGCTCAGCACATCAGCATTGCCCAACACATCTGCCATGACCTTAGACACCACAACCTCGTCAGCAAAGCCTCTTCCCTCCTCGTCTGCGCCGCCTCTCTCCATGCCTGCTCCACCACGCAATGCTCCCGCAGCAGTACTCCCTGCCACTCCACCTGATAACTCCCCTCCGCTCAATTGAGGATCAATCTCTGCCCTTGCTTGCGGATCTCCTTTCATGCCTGCTGCTGCCAGACCTCCCGCACGCCCTGTTGCGGAACCTGCTTCCAAACCAGAAACCCGGCCTGGTGGTGAACCTGCAACATGACCTGCTGCCGGACCAACGCCCTCAGCCCAAGTAGTGGTCAGCTCTTCTGGAAAACCTACAAATTTGCGCCCAGGCAAAATTCGTCCAGCCACATCAGCATGCCTTCGACGTTGGCCTGCCACATCAGCGCTCCTGTCAGCACTGCTGAACTCCACGTCATCATCATCAGCAGCAAGGTCGAAGCACAGCCCCTCGTAGATCTGCCGCACCTCGCAATCCAGAGGCCCCCTCCCCCCCTTGCCCACCCTCCCCTCGTAGATCTGCCGCACCTCGCAATCCAGAGGCCCCCTCCCCCCTTTGCCC